GGGCTGAGACATGCTGATCTAGACAACCTTCTGAGGTACCGCCCAACCCCAATTTTCTATGATTCTGTATCCACCTATGAATACTGGTACTGATTTCTATTCTCCAAGAAAGTAACTTTTATGATTGGACAAGTATCAAGAATGCTTAAACTGTATAATCCGAAGGAGAGAAATACATTATTCTGTCAATGACTCTTCTTGCAAGCCTAACGTTTAATAGCTTTTACAGGTATTGTTGCTAATGCCAGATGCCATTTTACTATGCTACCTAAAGGTCTGGCAGAAGCTAATGAAGGCATCAGTATTTCTGAAGAGGGAAACTTGACAAATGATGATAGCAGAGTGTACATTTTACACACGTTCATCTCATATTTTCCTCTTTTGGGAAACTGGCTATGGGAGCACAAGTCAGAGAAAACGTTTAGAGAGAAATTCTGTTCTCAAGTGCAAGACTGGTCTCAGTGATGATATTTCACAGTCTTTTTATACAGAGAACTGCTTTCAAAACTTTCTTCAGAGTTACATATATGTAAGGGACAGCATAATATATTTGCTGATATTAGCCTTAAATCTCTGAGGACAATTTTGCAATCTATATATTCAGGCTGTAGAAGGACAGGTATTTCCCTCAACTGTACAATAGCTGTAGCGTTTTTTAAATTAATAAGGTTCTTGGAGTACAAATCAACTTTGAATTTGACTCAAAGCATCACAGAAAGAATAACACTGGTGGAACAATCTAGCCAGTAAAAAATGCTCGAACACCACTGTCTTTTTTCCTTAAAATAGACTTTGTATATATTTAAAAGGCAGTATTTGTCAAAAGAAACACTTAAAGCTTGTTGTTCAGACTTTTACTATGAGATTCTGGGCATATAATTCCTTTGTCATTAATTACTCTTAAATTTGAGTTATCTCTGATGTTTGGTAGATGTCTAGAAAACAGCTGAGGTAGGTAGTTAGCTGTATTAGTCTCAGGTCACTCAGAAGACATGGTAGAAAATGGTAACTATTAAGAAACTCTTGAAATATTGAAGTATCATAGTATATTGGTAAACCTTGGTTTGTGCTGACTTGCACCAAAGCTGGATTAGTACCTGTAGTCATGAAGACATTTGAAAACCCATCCTGTTAAGACAGAGCTCTTGCAATGATATATGCAGCCTAGGTCTGACCACTGGTGGTCATTTTTTGCCAATAATACAAACTAGCCAAATTCACATCAGATAAATTACTTTCTGGCTTAGTAAAAGCAGTAGCATTTACCTTTTTTGTTTTAAACAGTAGTGTAACACTGAGTGCTTACACAAGTGACTTTTTTTTTGTGCAGTCAGGCCCCTGAAAGCACTCTACAGATGTGACATGACACATGTGCATGGCTGTAGAGCGCTTTTAAAATGGCTAATCATGAAAAAATTAACTCCTCTCAAATCAGCTACTAGATTAAGGTGCTCTATAGCAGAGTACCTTAGGGAAATTGTGTTCTCTTGAGGGTTAATTTTTTATGCAAGGGGCAGAGCTGTCAGTAGGGGAGGGAGGGAAAGGAGCAACACCCAGCTGTCATTGACCTGAGCTGGAAGGGGAAGTGTGGAATGGAGCCTCCTTGCCTTGTCGTCCCCTCCTCTGCCTCCCCCAGCTACCCCAGATGGGATATTGGGGTAGGGTTTCCATATTTCCAGCTTCAGAAAAAAGGACACCTGTTGTGGGGAGGAAGAGAGAGAGGCAGACTGTTGGGGGGCAGTGATGTGCCCATGCCCTACCCCTGCCCCTCACTCCCAAGCCCCCAGCCCTGCTGCTGCCCCTCACTCCCAACCCACAACACCTTGTTCCCCAGACCATGCTGGTGCCCTTCACTCAACTTGCAGCACCCCCACTGTCCCTGCTGATACCCCTCACTTTTGACCCACAGCCTCTGCCCCATCCCAGCCCTGCTGGTGCCCCTCGCTCCCAACTTGCAGCCCCCTGCCACCCTCCCACAAGCCTTGCTGCCCATGCATGTCCCTGCTGCATCCCTGTCCCCCACTGGACGGGCAGACAGCTCTCTCACCTCCCTGTCCCTGCTGCAGCTCCAGCACTAGCAGGCGCATATGCACACCACATACAGACACACACACACTCCCCTTTGCTTGCAGTTGCTGGGGCTGCGTGTAGACCACATGATGCCCCAGCCTCCAATTGCCTTGCCCTCCCTGCTCCAGGCCCCAAGTAGCTCCTTGCTGCGGCAAGCTGGGTAGAGACAGAGCAAAATCCCAGACATTTGCTGATATATTTTTTTAAAAAACCTGTCTGGGTATGCATAAGAAGACTCCAAAAGAGGACATGTCTGGGAAAACCTGGATGTACGGTAACCCTACATTAGGTGAGGGGGCTCTATTTCACTCCAACCTCCCATCTGTGGCTGGACCGCTTGAGAATGGCAGCAGCACGGGGCTGCCAACTCTTTTGCCCAGAAGTGGGGGGGAACAGAACCCCTTCACCTCACGGGCCTGGCCCAGCTCCCCCAGTACTCTAGCCAGGGTAGCTGGGGGTGGGGGACACACAGGTAAGGGGGATCCACTCCACACCCCCCTCCAGCTCAGGCCAGGCAAAACAACCAGCAGCTGGATGTTGCTCCCTCCCCTAGAGCTGGCGGCGGTGGGGGGCTGGGGAAATTGCTGGTACATCCCTGCCTGCTGGCCAGGACTGAGGCCGGTGTAAGCAGGTTCAATCCCTGACCCAACAGGCAAACATCTATTAGGTTGGGGGCGGGACTTTTAACTCACTGGCTAGGGACAGACTTTACATAAAAAACAGTTTAAGTAATCAGAAACTGGTTTAAACCTGTAATAGAACAGATGTTTGGTGCACATAAACTGGTTTGAAAATGGCTGAAGCTGGTTTGAGGTAAACCTGGTTGAATGTAATATCATACTTAACTGATTTGAGTCAAACCGGTTTATGCAATGTCTGTCTTAGCCCCCTTCTTGATTTAACTTGAACTAGAGTCCCCCAGTATCCCAGATGCTTTGCAACCCTGGGCGGGGCTCTGCTTTCTGCTCCAGCCCAGCAGGGCTGGCCCCCACCCTGGTCCCTGGCTGGATCTCCAGCAGAGACTGTAGACACAGCAGCATCTGCCTGGCTTCCTCCTGCCTGCTGCCCTCCCCCCACCCCGCAACTCCCTGCTCAAGCAGGGATTCCCCCCTGCCCTCTCCTTCACACAGACACCTCTCAGCATTAGCTAGCATACCACATGCTGGCTGGCTACAGCCTGTGCTGTGGGAGATGAGACAAAGGCAGACAGGACAGTGTTGGCTTAGGAACTAATCAACAGGTAGCTGGTAATGTCTCTCCATTCCTTCCTTGGAAAAAAATTGTTTAAGAAGAGCTTGAACTAATGAGGCTGTTTTGTTAAATGGGTGCTAAATGCTAACAACTCCCTGTGTAACTCTCTGCTCTGTAACTCAATGCTCTGTTATCAACAGCAATGGGGGGGACCCCTCCCTAATCTGAGTGTCTTGCCAGGGCCTGGCCACACCCCTCCTCAGCTCTGGCTTCTAGCCTGAGCCACTGCAGGCATGTGCCTGCACTTCTTCAGTCCATAGGGGATGTCTGAATGGTTACAAACTAGTTCAGCCTAGACAGGTTAGACTAACCTGCAAAGATTGAATCAATTTAAGCTCAGGGTTTTTGAATGTCTGTCCCTAGCCATGGTGGTTTGTATAAAGTGCCATGTGTTAAGAATGCAGCCCCTAACATCTGTAGGCACCATATTGGTTTGCCCTGTATGGGGTATTTAATTATTACAGTATTTTATGTATTTGTTTGCTTGAGGTCCTTTTGCTTCAAAAGTACTATGCAAATTTAAATTGTTAGCATGCCCCCATTAATATTCATCAGTACAGTTTTATTACATTATGCAGTTTTATACTATTTACTAATATTATTGCAGCATTGTTCAAACTTTACAATGGAAAGCAGCTTTGTAACAGCTTGTACTACTATTGGTAGCTTAGGGCATATTTATTTTTCATGAGTGAAATTTTTTTTCTGCTCTTTTTGGTCTCCATTTGCTCTTTTTCTCTATTTTCCACACATGCCCACATTGTTGATATTTTTACTAGTTATTGTTAACTAATAATTGTTAATTAGGCTGATTTATAAAATAGGAGCACAACATTGATTTATGTATTGCTTTAGTTTATGCATTAATATAGTTTTAGTTGAAAAATAGTTTACATTTTAAGTGGTATTGTCTATGGAATCCAAACATTTATGTATTTTTCCCCATTACTACAGTATATGTCCATCATAACCTCTCGAGGAACATAGATAAATATTTGAAAATATATATAGCAACAACTTGGCCATGATCCTTCAGAGTCCTATATACACTTAAACTTACATGCTCTGAGAGGTCTCATCAAACCAATGAGATGGGGAGGTACATGAATGGAAACATATATAAGCTAGTCAAGAAATGAATCTCCTCCCTCTTCCTCTCACCCCTGGAACATTTTCATTGTGTAAAAAAAAAAAAAAAATTCATTTACATTAATTTTTTTTTAAACTTTCAGGTTTTTCAGCAAAAGACCAACATTCTTTGGGCAAAAGTTTCCTTTTTTAAAATGAAAAATAGTTTTTGAATTTTAAAAAGTTAAAAGATTTTTATCTTCCAGCTATATGTAGCAAGAGAATTCTCATAGTGACTTCACTGCCTTCAGATGTCCAGAGTTAGCATTGTCAGGTTCACTTCCCAGCTGATCTCAACTGTTGGGTTAAAACCAAAAGAGGTAATCTCCAACTCATAAAGAGTCTTATAGCTCTAAACTCATGTTTTAAATTGCCTCCAGAAACACAGTGGAAGCCAGGGCAATTTCTGGAGCTGCTGTGTTACGTTATACCATGTGGGTTAATTTGAACAACTGATTTATGTGCACCTGTATTGGGAAGATATAACAGTTCTGATGATAAGTAAAGTGGTCAATATAGGATTTTCATGATGTTTTTGTTTTGACATTTAGGCAGTCATGTCAAAGCAGAAGCAAAGTGTCTCTTCTTTGTACCAAAGAAGGTAAGACAAAAGCATATTGCCGTGGAGCTCCTGGCCATGTAATTTTAAACGTGTTTGAATATATTTTTAAAGGTAAATACTTTAATATGTATTTCTCCTTACATTTTGTTTACCTTTGCTCACTCATTAGTGTAGCATTAGCTCTTTTTGCCGCAACATCTGGTATGATCAGTTTTTCTCACCTCTTGGCTACGTTATTGTCTGCTGCAGATACTAGACTAGGCCATGGTAAATTGAGAGTTTTACTATCGATTTCAAGGGGAGCAGGGTTGTTCTACACTTGTTCTCCCTTTGTAAGACTTGTAGGATATGTATTTTACACATTTTAGAATTCTTCTTCGAATCTTACCAAGGAAAACTCTCTTGAATTTAAGTGAAAATTGTCCATGTAAGGACCTTATAATTTAATCCATAATTTGATCCATAGATTCCAATGAAACAGTGCCGGATTAAGTTACACCTGCATTAAGTCTGAAGTAACTCCACTGCTTTTATTGGAGTTACTATGGATTTACGCTAGAGTGATTGAAATCAGAACTTGGCTCAGAATCAATTTTAATAATTGTTTGCACTGGTATCATCCCCTTCCTAATGCCTTGTGACTTGGAGTATGACAAAAGGATAAAGTTCTTCATGGCATTGATCTTGTCAGTGGCCATGTTTCTGACAATTAAACTAAACTTTTGTCAGTGTTGGACGTGAGTCAAGAATAGGCACCTGAGTTGGGAATACAAGCTGTGCTCCACTTGCTAATGTGAATGTCAAGGGTTTAGGGAATCTTAATGAAGGAAGTCCAGATCAAATTTAAATGCACAGCAGACTGTGCAAATTTAATAGGTTTGAAAATGCAGCAATTCTTCAGCTGGGATGAGGTCAGGTTCTCCACATTGGAAAGCTTTTGTGAAGAACGTTTTAAATAAATAAATTAGCCCAACGTGAATGAGATTAGTTAAAAAATGTGACCTAAGTTCAGGAAACAAATTGACTAACTATTATTTCTAGAAAAATCATATCACATGACTCTTTTAGGGTGTTTCCTGCCTACACACAATACATGCACAGAACTTTAAGGCAACACAAGCATCCTTGCCCCTGAGGTTATATAAGGGAATGTGCCAAGGATTGAAAATAGGCATTGTGCTAATTTATTTCTTCATAACTGACCTGTATATGTGCAAAGTAGGATATCTTCCCAGAGGGGATTGATTCTAAAAGGACTGCAGAATCTGATGTTTTTAGCTTACTCTCTAAATCAGGCAGGGTTTAAACAAGAGGATGAAAAAAACTGCACTGCTTTGGCCACCTCCCAAAGCAAGAATTAAAAGAAGGAACTAAAAGAAAGTGCTAAGAGCATTTAAATAATGGTAACTGACTAACTGGGTAATGGAAAATATCTTGTCAGTGACATTTGTAAGGTGAGGGTATAGCTTCCAAAGGAAGTGGTGATTATTTAAAAGGAGAAAGGACAGAGCACTTGAAATACTTGCAATAAACTTTCCCTGTATATGAGCAAAATTTTTTTTTCCATTAGTAATTTCCATACGCAAAGCAAGTGTAGTATGCTGCAGCTGAGTCAGTAGTATGGTATACATTAGGCCTGTGCAAAGAGGGAAGTATTTGCTTCAGATTCAGATTTGGCTGTTTCGAAGGGACAGTGATTGGATTAGGAGATTCGAATCACTGTCCCAATTCGATTCAGCCAAATCAGACCCGAAGATTTGGCACCATTTTGGAGATTTGGCCATAGACTAAACAGGCAACAGTCCTTACCATGCTGGACACAGTTGCCTCCAGTTGGTATATCTGTTGTAGGGGGCGGAGGGGGATGGGAAGGGTCATGGGGGAGGGAGGGATTGGGGCTGGGACAAGCTGCCCAGCCAGGGCGGGGGGGTGCGGGACTTGGGGTGGGGGGCAGGGGAGCATGGGATGCAGGCATGGCATTGGTGGGACTGGGATGCCCTGCTGCCACTTGCCCAGCCAGCGTAGGGGGGCGCAGTATGTGAGCGCTGCCATTGCTTGCCCAGCCAGTGCAGGGGGGCATAGGATGCTGGCACTGCTGCTGCCAGCTCAGCCAAGGCAAGGGGGCCCAGGATGCAGGTGCTACAGCTGCTTGCCCAGCTGGCACTGGGCAGCACAGGATGCGGGCATGGCAGTGCTGGGAGCGGGGGCTCTTCCCTGCTGCCGCTTGCCCCTTTATGCCTGGAGTGAGCTGTGCCTGCCCCAGCTGGGCAGGCACAGCGAGCTGAGCTCCTCCCCTGCCCCAGCTGGGCAAGTAGTGGCAGAACATAGCTCCCACTCCCACCACTGCCAAGCTTGCATCCCATGCCCCCCTGTCCACCTTCCCAATCCCTCCCTCCTCCCCCATGCGCCTTCCTTCTCCCCTCTGCCCACTACAACAGACTTAGCAGCTGGAGGCAGCTGTGTTCAGCGTGGTGAGGACTGCTGCCTCTTTAGTCTAGTCTATGGCTGAATCTCTTCTGAATTGATTGAGAGGCTTCTGATTCAGTTTGGACCTTTTAATTGGTCTCCTGATTCGATTTGGATTTGGAGATTCAGCTGCCGAATTAGGTTGAATCTCCTCCAAATTGAATTGGCTACCGAAGCTTCGCACAGCCCTAGTGCACATCTCCAATTTGGGATTCCAACCTGGGACAAGTTTACCACCATTAGTCCTTCAGGATCAGTTCTGACCAGTACTATAAGGTGGCCACTATATGATGGTGGCTGACAGGTGTGCTATAAAAACAATCCCCCTAGTCAAGAATAGACAGGTGGTTCCACTTTACAGAAAAAGGCAAACTCCTCCAATTTACTCTTTTTTTCTTCATTTACCTGGATGGAACAGATCGGTTAATCTTTGGAGTAAATCCACTGAAGTGAAATGAGGAACAAATTTAGCTTGGTATGCATGGTGTTAAAATGTCGGGTTCTGTATTTTTATGTATTTTATGAATTTTTCCCAGGAGAAGCCCACTGGCAATATTTTTTTTTCCAGAACATATTTTGGGGGCCATTGCCTGCATCATAGTATTGCATAATGAACTCTATCATTCCTTTCTTTTTAGATTGTGGCCATCGTCCTGCAGCTCGTATGTACAAGAGGATCCTTGGTGGCAGGACCAGCCGCCCAGGACGGTGGCCATGGCAGTGCTCTCTGCAGAGTGAGCCAAGTGGGCACATATGTGGCTGTGTTTTGATTGCAAAGAAGTGGGTCTTGACAGTAGCCCATTGCTTTGAGGGGTGAGCAGAGCTCAATCAGTTTTACTATTAATGTGCAAATTATTACTTGGATAAACAACTTCCATGCAAAAATATCAAGACTTCCAATAAGCATAGTAGCAGGTTATGAACTTGTCCAAAGCAACAAATAATATGGGCTTGAAAATGGTGTCTGATGCTGATGGAGGGAAAATGGTGTAGCTGACTCAGCTGGGAAACTCAGAAAAAAAATTTCACCCTCTTTAAATGACATTTTAATGTGTCACATATAGTTGCAATAGACTGATAAATCTCACTGAGTGCCAAAATAAAAATGGCTAGGAACAGGTGGGCAGTAGTCACTGTTATATATCTATTTAACAGTGATTTTACACACGTGTGTGTGTAATCTCAATACTTCTTTGAGGTACTGAAGTTTCCTTTTCTAATGTTAAGAAAATTATATGCTACCTCCAGTATGATTGTTACCATTAAAAAGACAATATTTACCAATAATTCCTACCTTCTGGGACCTGAGCTTCCATACCCCAAGGATTTTGAAGACTAGAGTGCCCAACATGCATCTTTGAGATCAGATCTCAATGGCTTTTTAATGCTAACCAGAGCACCTTTTTTGAAGAAACAATGTTTGGTCTTGAAGTTTATCATCTTTACTTTATTTTGCACCACAATCTGTTAATTTAGCTTCTAAAGACAAGCAGAGCTGTGTCACATCCATTTGGTATGCTTTTCCCCCAGATAGTGTTTAAGGACATTTCTGCTGTACTGTTTCTTTTGCTGTGTATCACTAATGGGTGACACCTCTCTCCTGTGGAATTCAGAGATGGTTCTGTGCTGTTAATGGACACTCCAGGACTATGCCCCACCATTCAGGTCATGGCACTAGGAAACCAGCCCCTGGGTTGGTTATTTCTGTTTCGTAACTTTATTTTTTGTGCAGTAGTGACTTCACTTCAGCTTTTAGCTTCTTATACCTTTCCTGAAGTGTAAAAACACCAGGATATTGAGGGTCTAAACCTCAGGTTCCTTTGGCACAGCACCTCTAGAGCAGGCTCCTTCTGCTTTGAGTCACATAGGTATACCACTGGACTCTGTTAACTCATTGTGGTGAGGCTCAACCAAGAACATGAGGGAAAACCACTTCCAGCCTGCTTATGGATAAACCTTGCAAACATAAGATCCCAGAAATGCAAAAGCAAGTTTTCTGAGCAAGTTATGTGAAAAATCAAGGCTTGAACCTTTTCCCTTTTACCTCCCCAACCTCAGGGGCTCATTGCTGGGTCTGTGTAACATAACTAGGAATGGGTGAGCAGGACACCAGCCACAGGCACCAACCAGAATGGACCCCCACCCCAGGAGTCTGCACTGTGGCGGTGGGAGCAGCACCCAGGCACAAGGACACCATGCTGCTGCTGGGGCATGGGGGTTTTTGGGTTTTTGGGGGACAGCCCTGTATTTCAGACCCTCCAGTGTAGCTGCTGTTGCTCTTTCTTTTCCCCACTGTCTATTGCCATGGTGAGAAGAATTGGTGGCACTCAGCACATGGCAATGAGGGAAGCAGCGGTGACAGACATAGTAGGGGGGCATGGGAGTGGGACATAAACTCGTCAGATTTGGAAAACACTGGTCCAGGGTGAAAATCTTACCAGTTACCATTGGTGACATGTAGGAGGTGCACATGCACCCCCTGAGATTGGCAGTGCATACCCTGAGGTTGGCTGTCACCAACACTGCTGGCAGCACCTGCGGGTGGTTGCTGCTCGTCACCACTCCCCTCACCGCCAGCATCTGTGGGTGGTCACTGATTGCCGGTGGCTCCCAATGGCATCTGTGGTTGGTTGCTGATCGCTGGTTGGCGCTCACCATCCCCCCTCACTGCCAATACTGCCGCGGCAGCCTGCAGGATCTCCCTGCTTGCTGCCGCCACTGTCTGTGGGCACTCACTGTGCTCCCCAGCCGCAGAGGGCACGTGATGTTCATGCCAGTTACACCTCTGCAGGGTCTTTTTTCCTCAGCAGTGCTTTCTCTCTGTGCCCTGTAACTGTCCCCCTGCACAGTTTCTGGCAACTCATTCAGCAAAGAAGTCAAACCTTTTACAAGGCACCTAATAACAGTGGGGGACGAAAGTATTTGGAAAAAGTAGCTTTCCATTCCTTCACAGAAGCATCATTTAGGTAGGAGGGACTTTTGGTTGGTTCCCAAATAATTCCTTAAATTACCAAGCATCTGCTTTATATGGTGGGAAGCTGTATTCTGCTGTAGTAATTAAAATTCTGCTGTAATCTTCCATCTAGTTCTGTGATTCACTGCCTGCGTACTTCCTGTTAGTGATGAGTGAGGAGAGAAATGTGAAGCAGGAGACATTTTTTACCTGATAATTTTCTTTCTGTTAGCAGCTGCTTTTCTTGTTCAGCCTGCTCTGACAGCCTCTGTAAATTATTTGTGAACAACTGATTTTTTTTTTTTTTTTAAATCAAAGGGGACAACTTAAACACAAGTTCACTTCATGGTTAGTTGATAGAATTTGACAGCATCTCAATAGTTTTCATTCATTGCTGTAGTGTTTCTACAGCTTTGCAAGAATGTCTCAGCGACACTGGAATGCCTTTGAATACAGCAGGTAAGAGGTGTCACCCATTAGTGACAAATGAGGAGACAATCTAGTAGAAAGAAACCTCCCAGTCTGTAGATTTCAGGAGGACTTTAACTATTTGAAGCAGGTCATTTATTGCTGATTAGAGCTATACCACATAAGGGAGTACCTAGAATGTTATGTTTAAAAAAGACGTTTTCATTCCAGATCCCAACTATTCCCAAATTTTTGGGAAGACAACAGATTATTCAACTTCCACACCTTAAACCTTAAACTTTCATTGAGGATTTACAAGAAATGTGTTATGCTCCCTCTGCTGGTGTTATAGTGGCATTGATTTATAAGCCAAAAGATTTTAGGTTGTTAAATTCTTTAAAAGTATACTTTCATACATGACAGTAGCTATTCTCCTTCCTTAGGTGTTTGATAATACTGCACTGTTATAATGATGCATGGGGAGGTGGGGGTTGCAGTTTATAACTGCTAAGTTGTTTTATGGTAAATTGTACCAATTCAAAAAAAAATGTAACACAAATATTTTATGTGTTCTTGGAAGTGGAGAATATGTATTATTTTATCCAAAGACTTGTTAGGTAGAAACACTTTAGCTAAGCTTGTGATGCAGGCTGCAGTGTGAGTATCATAGCCATTCAGCAGAAAGCATTATAACAAATATGGGTTTGATACCTTTGAGATGGGAGAAATGTCGTAGAACACATCATCCATATGCTCTTCAGTTACTGGAGTGAAATGCTGTATTCCCTGGGGTTTGAAATCCATTGTATAAAAGCATCCAAGATCAAAACTAAAATACCAAATAATTTTTCCCTGCCTTTGGACAATAAGTTCAAGCTGTGAACTTCCTTGCTCAGGGCTGTTTTATTTTCCTTGCTCTATGCTTGTAAGACATGCTAGAACATAAATATTCTTAGTAGTTTGTTATGAAAAATATACAAAAAAGTCACAAACTAGTCATGGGAATAAAAGGATAATTGTAGCCTGAAATGTCAGCATTTGCGTATCTCATTATTTTATGAAAATAGCCTTTATTTTGCAATCAAAACTCTTAAAAGATGATTAAAAACCACAGTCTGGTTGACCGCTGGGGAAAAAAGCTGTTGTTTCCCTTCTTATCTGTAGCTTTGATTAAGCCTCAGCATCTGCAAAGTTTGCTATGTTGTACAAAACCCTCTTCAGTCTGTTGTGTAAATGCTGAGGGTTCTTTTATTTTAAGCCACAGGGAAGTCACAGAGCCTGTGACTTACCACTAGCTCTAATCATGAGATTTCACGCCCTTATCCTTTTATGGCTCCATTCTTATGCGTCTCAAATTGGTTTGATCTTCTTGATTCTATTGTGTTTACCTCCCCACATGAAAAAAAATCCAGATATCAAAAATGGAAACATGGAAATATGCAGTCTTGGGTAACTGTCTAAAAGTCAAACTGACAAGTGATCTTCAGCCTTAGGCATTTTCAGAGCACACCTGACAAGGGGTATATACAAACATTGTAGTTAGATAGCTCTCACCAAGGTTAGAGTGATCTAAATGCCCTGGTGTGCAAGCAATCACAGGGCTTAGGTCACCCTAAAATGGCACACTGTATCTAAAACTAGTTCTCATCTGAGGTGAACTAACTTTAGATCAGCAAGGGGTTAACCTGACTTAGCAAAGGTTAACTCAGCCTACTGAATGCATTCACAGCACAGCCCTGGGGCTGGGAAAGCCCAGCCACTCTTAGCAGTCCATAGTTCCCAGGCTGTGCTGTTTTTACATCTCTGTTGACCCTGACCAAACTATTTTTAACACCCTGGCTAGTCCACATCTGATCTGGGCAACACCCCTCCCACCATAGACCTGCTAGGCCTCCCCATGTGATAAAAAAAAATCTCTGATTCTTGACTTCTTAGTATGCATTAGTGGCTAGATCTTCATTAAGAACTTTAAAGTTAAATGTTGGGTTGTTTATAGAAATCAATTAGTAAAAAATAACCAAAGTAGTGCATTATCATGGCCTCATACTATAAGATACTGACTGAACGCCTTGATTGCAATGGAAATGGGCACTTAGCACATCCTGGGGTAAGGCCATTGCATTTCATGAAGGGCCATACTTGCCCATCCTTCACTGGGCCATATATAGACTGATGTCTAGCCCAGTGGTTAGGACACTCACCTGAGATGTGATTTCATATCTCAACTCCAGGCCATACAGAATAGAGACTTGATTCCATGTTTTTTATCTCTAAGATGGTAGCCCTAGCTAGCAGGAGAGAACCTACGTTTTTTGTTCTTGGGAGCAACCTATTGTGGGACTTTGGGTTGAACTAGGGCTCTGAGAAGATTGTTACCTGTTGGGGATGTGGGGAGTGGGGGAGATATTAGATCAGCACTTAGATGGCTTTGCACATACCCACCAGGAGAAACTTATACTCACTGGTATGGTAACAAGTGGTTCTGAGAATGGCATTGGTGCTTAACAAAGCAGATACACACCTATGAACTTTGGAAGATGTGACCCTAAATTCATTGGGAGGAAAGCAATACAGTTAGTCCCAATTTGTATTTCCCTACTGGCTTTGTTATCTTTTTGGAGTCACAATCCTAAACACCTACTAATAAAATTCATTCTGCATTGTTGCTCAGATCTTAGTTTTTAACATAGATTCTTAAAGTATGATTTCTATTTTTTTTTTATATAGGACTACTTATGTGAGACAGCTGTGGCTAAAATAACTTTTTATTTGAATTTAATGTTTTCCTTTCTTTCAAAGGAGAGAGAATGCTGCAGTTTGGAAAGTGGTGTTTGGTATAAGCAATCTGGATCATCCATCAGTTTTCATGCAAACCCGACTAGTGAAGACTATTATCTTGCATCCACGGTATAACAGAGCAGTGGTTGACTATGATATCAGCATTGTAGAACTAAATGAAGATATCAGTGAGACAAGTTATGTAAGGCCAGTCTGCTTACCAAGCAGGGAACAGTTGATTGAGCCGGATACCTACTGCTACATCACAGGCTGGGGACACATGGGCAACAAAAGTAAGATGAATACTTTCCAGATTTTTGGAGGAATGTGTTAATCTTCTACTAACCTGATCAAATACTTGTTTCCAGTTTCAAATCATTTTGCCTACCTTTAATTATACATTTGTTATACTTTATGTATCAGAACACTCATACAAAATCTTTGATTTTGTGATTTTAGAGCCTAATTTTTCAATAACAGGAGCCTAACTCAATATAGTTGGGCATTTAGACAAAATAGCTGGTTTTCCAAAAATGCTGAGTATCTAATAGTTCCTGTTGAGGAAATGCTGTCATGGCTAGTCAGTGGCCTGATTTAAGATGCATGTGAAGCTATCCTGAGAGTATGTGAAATGACCAGAAGATGAACGTGCTCTTAGCTGAGTGCAAAGCTTCAGGCTCAAGCTTTCTTTTGTTGGCTCAAGAAATAGGTATTTTGTTGACACATTTCTTCTTTGTTTCTTACAACTTTAGGGTCCTGTGATAGTAGAATTTGTATTATATAAATCTTTTATTAATAAAATAAATTCACACACAGCATAAATAAAATATTCCAGCTGTCCTTTCACATTCTATTTAGTGCACCTTAGATGGGGAAATGTCTCCCCCCTTTTTTTTTTTCTGGAGTTATTACCAGGGGAAATGTGTAAATCCTGAGCTCTACAGACAATGAGCTCACTCCCAGCATTTTCTTGAATGATATTTCACTTCATTGGCAGTGGCAGGCCCTCAATTCAAGGATGATCTTTACCATGACTCATTGGAGATGGTTCTTGAGATGACTTAAGGGTCTAATCCTTGAGCCACAGAGGGTCCATCCACAAGAGTTTCAGGTCTTCCCACAGGGGAGAGTAGTCTGAAGGCTGAGATTCCTCTCCTTTTCCTTCCTCCACTGTCTCTTGACTTACCATGGCCATATCAAACATAAGGCAACATCAGTCAAACCATTCCTTTATATAACTGAAAATTAATTTTCTACAGCTCAGAACTCAGAAGTAAACATCACTGGGCAAGCTGCTGCAGAGCTCCACAGTAAAGTTTCAGCAGCAACCCATGCTGTCCTATTAGGTTGCAGTAAATTAACAAACTCCGCTGTAGGATACTACTTGTAATTACAAGTACTACTTTACTGCAGTGATCTTTACTGCACAGCAAAGCAGATGTAAATGCTGATGGGGCTGGCTAGGGCATGACAGTCCTCCAATGTGGGGACTGCCTTATGCCCCAGCCAGTCCCTCTGTAGCACAGTGTTTTCCAGTGTTGCCACAGATTTCAAAGTAACAGGTTATGAAGAAGTGTAAAACTGAAAGTATTCATCTTGATTCCATATTGTTAAAACTATAGTGGAAAGTACTTTCCAATCTCCCATCAGATTTGAGTGGTGGTAATGGTTTACAGTAGGAAACAACCTTGCATTAGCACCTAAATGGTCTAAAAGATCTTGTACCTCTTCATTCTTAGATATACTGTGTCAAATCCATCCCCAAGATCATTTTACTTTTTAGGAGCCTTGAAGCAACTTTCCATGCATTCTAGCAGCACTATAACAGGGTTTCTAAAGGCTCTTTATCAAATCCACTCTTGATTTAGCCAGTAGAGGTGAAACATAGAATCAATGAGTCGGAAGGGACCTAGACAGATCATCTAGTCCGACCCCCTGCCATGGGCAGGAAGGAGCACTGGGGGTGGGAGGGGTCATAAGACTCCAGCCAGGTGCCTATCCAGTCTCCTCTTGAAAGCAATTTCTCTGAACTGAACATGCACTAACCCCTTGTAACAAGAGGGCATCCTGGGGCCAGTCAAATCGTTGGCCTACCCCCTTGTCTCAAGGGTAACCATCCACCTATCTTTTACTCGGGCTCCGTGCCTGGCTCAGGATTCTCTTGGTCCCCTTAATCCCATTGCCTGAGGAGCCTTATATCTAGCTCCCTTGCAGACTTAAAGGCCTACCCCTCTGAAGCCTCACATCTAATTCCTTAATGCAACTCAGGACTCACAGTAAGCCTGGAAGCTGCCTTAGGTCCCTTCCTAACCTGGGCCCTGCCTCAGGACTCTCAGTGAACCTGGGCCCTTGTTTTGCCTTCAGGGTGTGCTCCCCTAGCCTTTCCCTTCCATAGGGTTGCCCACCCAGGCAGTCGTGGGTGAGGCTTTCTGGCACCCCATACTCACCCTCCACTGGGGAGGGCACAGGAGTGTCATTTCCTGGAAGCTGCCCTGCCACAAGCAGCCCCACCACATCTAACCCCAGCAGGGTGTAGTTTTAGGTCATGCCTCAGGACCAGGAGCCTTCACCTTCCCCATAGCTCCTTCCCTCTACCTCCAAGGCATTATGAGCAGGAGCTCCAGCCAGGTGATGCACTCTCCTCAGCTGCTTGCAGCAGACCACTGGCCATGCTGCTCAGAGCCCTGTTTTTATAGGAAACAGCTTGGCCCTGTTCCCAATCAGGCAGTTGTGCTTGATTGGGAGTGCAGCCACCTGCAGATTGCTCTGCAGTCTACTCATGCCTGTGTAAGTATCAGAGCACAACTTGTGCTCTGTTACGTCCCCTACACATGCACCTCTGACTCTGGGGCTCAAGCAGTTTGAATACCCATTGGTGGCCATTCAGAAACTACTACTGTTTCCCTGTATTCTGAGCTGAGGAGGAATTCTTTCTTACTGAGCATGACCCTTGTTTATTTAATAATTTTTTATTAACAGACCCTTTTGAAGTAATATTTCTGTCTCTGTAGTAGAAAAATGTTTCCATCTCAGACAGCACTAAATGAATTATTATAAGACAATACTCAGATTAACACAGAATCTTTTTTTTCCAGTGCCTTTTAAACTGCAAGAAGGAGAAGTTCGCATTATTTCCCTAGAACAATGTCAGTCATACTTTGACATGAAGACCATCACCAGCAGGATGTTATGTGCAGGCTATGAGTCTGGCACTGTGGACTCGTGTATGGTAAGCCACTTTCTGGGTAGAAACGCGAAACTGACTTTTTTTTCTTTTTATAAAACAGTCTAATAATGTATGTACAGGATGCTTGTTGAAATACAAAGGTGACACAATAGCTTAATGTTCTTGGTGTCCATTTCTAAATAAGTAATCATACATTTTTATGGTGCAATAAACTTTAAAACGGATTATGATCTGTTGCTTGGTGCCTCTTAAGAATTGATTTTTGTTAATTAATTAAGACTTTTTTTAATTGGTGTGAATCTTGAACAGCTAGTTTTTTATAAATGTAGCAACCAAACTATTACTGGAGAGGCTTGTATATTCTTATGTGGTTGAACTGATAAACCAGATTTTTCAACTGAGTTAAGTTGAACTCATACATCCTCTAGATACTCAAGCACAGCCTTCATCGTAACAATACTGATTACATGCAGCCTCCATAGACTGTATTTTTCTCTTGAATTGCAGGGAGACAGTGGAGGCCCTCTTGTTTGTGAGCAGCCTGCAGGACGCTGGACGTTGTTTGGTTTAACATCTTGGGGCTCTGTCTGCTTTTCAAAAGTTTTGGGACCTGGAGTTTATAGTAATGTGTCACACTTTGTTGAATGGATTGAAAGACAAATATACATCCACACCTTTCTACTAAACTAACTCCAGATGTGTAGAGTTGTGCTGACTGGCAGAAGGCAAAGATCTTCAGCTCTTGAACATTCAAGATTTAGCAAGCAAGAAACTCAGGAGAGTTCTGAGCTCTAGGTGTTGTTGACATGGAGCTATGGAAAATGAAATATAAGTGAACTGGTAAACTTCTGCCACTGAAGATACCTTCTGGGTAGGTCTGATATGTTTGTAATCCTTTGACTGCCTTTAGCTGTGTTGTGCTACCATTCTAAGCACAACAAAAAAAGGCTTAAAGGAAGATTTGGCCAGTTTCTGCCTTTCAGACCTCTAAATTAAGCTGTAGCACAGATTAGCAAACCTATAAAAAGATCCACTTAGTAGCACATACTGTTTCCACCCACAATTCTTGCAATGAAGAGTAAAGTCAATACATTCACAGCAATGATGCCGAAGAGCTATGCTAGCAAGGGAGATCTAGGCATCAAACTGCCACTTTAGTTGCCTTAATCTAAAATGGAATACCTGCCTACTTCTGGAGTTGTCCAAGTAAAGTAAGTTTCTGCCACTTGGCTGGCACAGAACTGCGTACGTCTTGATAGCACTGAGCAGCTTGGAGCCTCTCTCATGCCTAAACATTATCAGTGTCCCCCTACATACTTTACCAGCAGGGGATGAACTGGTGATGAGTTGTCACTGCCACCCTTTTATCCAATTGCTTAGATTACTCAACTCGAATGTGGGAAACCCCAGTTCAAATTTTCACTGCCTTCAATCCCCATCTCCCCTTTCCCAGAAGAGTGCCCTAACCAACAGGTTGGGCTTCTTAAATTTCTTTTTGTTGTTTCAATTTGTTCTTTAAGTTGTTTCTCAATAACTAAACATTCTTTGACTGAGATGGAGAATGATTTCATAGCTGGGTAGGTAGAGCACTTACATGAGGAGGAAAATTTGGATGCCAGCCTGCGCCAGATGTATAACTAGCAAAATTGGCACCCTGGGTGGAGACCAGAGAACACAGGGGTGGTGGTAAGATGCTGAGCAAAAAAGTCTACTGGAGACTCAAAGATCCAGCTGGTACTGCCATGAAATGTTCTCCCCACACACCAGCCAGCAGCAGCTGCTGCTACCACACATGCTTCCCATCTACTGGCAGCTGGGCTTCCCAGGGGCCACCATTTTGGCAGTTCCCTATAAATTGATGCCTGGGGCAGATGTGCTGCTCTCCCACCCTTAGTTATGCTACTGTTTTAATGCATGTTTTGTATCCAAAGCAGAAAAGGCAGATGGAGCACGCTCCTTCAGTGTGGAGGATCCTGGGCTCAAAACTAGTCATGTAGAAGGGGTATTTGAACTTGGGCTCTCCATATCTTAAGACAGTAGTCTTCTTGCTGTCTTAAATGAGTACTGTACCCATGGAACTATTGTGCAGCCTAAGCAATTAATGGCAGAAGAGGACCAATGGCTGAGAATCCAAAAGTGGAGATAGCCACTTCCATCTTCCAGGGGTGAAGCATTTTCTATAGCCTAGCTCACACAGATCCCACTCCGAACACTGAAAATTAAGTTTCAGTGATACAACCTTTAAGTTCCCTTTGTGAATCTAGTCTGAGGTCTGCAATAACATTATCACTTCTACTATCTCTAGCTTGCCCCCTGTAAGCATAATGAGACCTTTTCAAGAATCCATCTTTTGTAGAATTCCCATATATCTGGTCAGTTCCTCCAGACAGCTGATAAATGGATGTTTCAGATGCTGTCATACTCCAATTAAATAGCATAGTTCAAATTACTGCTATAGTTACATATTTACCTCTAAAACTGAGCATCTCTCTTTTTGATGCACTTCAAATAACAAGTGAAAGACAATGCTCTTTACCCATGTCCACTATATTCATAAAAAATAATATATATATTGTCCCAGGCTTTAAAACTATATTTAAATTGTTATCAAATTACAGTTGTACTTTCAAGAACAGAACCTGATGCCTCGATGGTCATTTTCTTTTTATAGCGTGGGTTTATGCAACAGAAAATTATATGTATTTCTCTCCCCTAAACTGCAAAAAAAGAGAATTTACTCTTCTCTAAATTTCTCCAGTTGAGGGCTGCACCTAATCTGTGTGACATGAGGTAGATTACTGACATCCACATCTTGAATATGGTGGTCTGGAAGTTACAGTTTCAGTACCCTGCTCTATCTTTATCCCATGGGACTAGATTCCTGACTGATGGGAACTGTTGTAGCTTATTTAAGGACCTGTGTTGGTTTAAAACACCTGAAAATCAGGCCATGGCTCTGTAAAAGGCCATTTGACCAACATACAGTAGTGGAGAGAGCAGAGCTGCATGTCGTTTTATGAAGTACAGAATTTACAAGATTTCTCTTTTTATCTAATTGAAAAGAAAAGATGCTATTGTAACATGAGCAGCCTGTCCTGATCTTTAATTTCACCAAATTATGTTCTTAGAGTTAGCTTTGAATAGTGAAAAGCACGGAAACACTTAGGACTATTTTGTGCGTGCGTGCGTGCGTGCGCGCGCACGCACACACTGCCAAGAGATACTATTTGAAATAATGTTATTATTTCCACACTAGTTAATTGGGCCTTGCCCTGCTCCAAGTTTTCAAGCAGCTGCCCCAGTGAAATAAATGGTGAGCTGTGCTTAGACTCTGGCACCACTGAATGCAACCATCTTTGACAGAAAAAGGATGTATTGAACCATATCTTAAATGGCTTTAGAAAGAAGCAGTATTTTTCCCCCAACTATTTCTGCCACAACATTCCATGTAAAAAATATATTTGTAATTTTATAAATGTATTTTTATACTGCTTTTTCTATGTGTGCACATGACAATATATGTAGACTCTGAAGTCAAAGTTATTCCTCCTACCCATGTATTAATTGTCTCCCTTGTATTCTCATACCTATGACAGTGAGAATTATTCTTCATTTCTCTACAAACTGTAACCCCTTGTAAGGTGGTAAACGCATTTCTTGTTTTACTCCTGTCAGCTGCAGCTCCACATAGAATTAATGGTACGTGAGCCAGCTAGATGTATTTATATCTAGTCATACTAATAAAAAAGGACATTAATTTTACAAATACTGTCTGAGATCTAAAATAAATATGGTTTTATTCTTTCTGGGAACTCAGTGGAAGGTGGGGATGCATTAAGAGATAAGAGGCAAGATGACAGCTTTGTGCAGTTGAGCTGGGTTTGTTTCCAATAGTTCTGAACCCAGATTTGCATGCATGTATGGAGTTGTTTGCAACCCCACTGATAACCATTGCAATGCTGAATTGTTTTCAGGTTCCGATTAAACATCTTCAGTGTAGTCTGCACCTATGTTTACATACATGAGTACATCTGTATCACTTACAAAGTGTTCAGAAACTGCTCTTGAGAACTGCCCATACATCTGCCCCAACTGCAACTCCTGAGATCTCTGCCCTTAATAGCAGAGGTAGCTTCACCACCTTTTTCCTAGGTTTGGCTTGAGCAGCATAGGTAGGCAGGATATGCCAGAGAATGCTGGCTGCCCAAGAGAGATGTGGAAGCACTATAGATGTGTACTACACTTTTCCCATACAGGATATTAATGGGCAGCCTGAGTATAACTCCCTGCAGTCACTTTGGATTAATTCTTTAATGGAAAATTGAAAATGAAAACAAACTCATATAGGCTAGGGCTAGACATTACACACAAACCAGTTGAAGTGATCAGAAACTTTTTAAAACCTGTAACCTAACAGATGTTCAGTGCACATAAACCAGTTTTAAAATGGCTGAAACTGGTTTGAGGTAAACCTGGTTGGATGTAGTATCAGGCTTAAATGATTTGGGTCAAACCGGTTTATGCAATGTCTGTCCCAGGCCCCTTGCTTGTTTAAGCTAAACCAGACTCCCCCAGCATCCTAGCATGCTCTCTGGGCTGGGTGGGGCTCCACAGCAGAGCTGGCCCCTCCCCTCTGTTCCTCAGCTGCAGATCTGGCAGAGATTGCAGGCTGCTCCTCCCTCTCCCCCCACCACTCCCTGCTAAGCAGTGATTCCCCCCATCCCCTCTGCCTTACAGAGACACCTCTCAACATTAGCTAGCAGACCACATGCTGGCTACAGTCTGTGCTGTGGCAGACAGGACAAAGGCAGAATCAACAGGTAGCTGGTAATGTCCCTCTGTTGTTTTCTTAATGGGGTTATAAACACTGAGTTAGGGGGTGATAAACACTGTGTTATCAATTCCCTGCTGGACTGGTCAAGGGGGTGGGCAGGGAACCCTTCCCTAATCAGAGTGTCCTGCCAGGGCCTCGCTACACCTCCCACAGCTCAGCACTTTAGAAGGGAAGGGAGGGCTGCTCTAGCACCCTCTGGCTTCTAGCCTGAGCCACTACAGGCATGTGCCTGTATTTCTGGGATGTCTGTTCTTGTCTGTTTAGTTACAAACTGATTTAGCCTAGCCAGGTTAGACTAACCTGCAAAAATTGAATCAATTCAAGCTTTTTGAATGTCTGTCCCTAGCCATAATTTTATCTGAATAGATATTTCTATATAAATGTATCTGTGTACATGAAATCCTTCCATCTTTTTATTATTTGGATTTCTGGATTTGAATCTACTCAAGTTGTTTCATTAACGCTGTCTCTTCTGTAGTTTACTGAAAAGCTGTAAGGCTGCTGTTAATTTTTATATGAGAATGCAAGGCTAAAGCTAATACTTTGGTAGCAGTAACCATTCATTTCACCGTAATATCACAGAATAAAAATACCAGGCTAGAAAACTGGCTTGAGTGATTTTCTCTGTGTTTTACTGCTTGTACAACTGGGGTATGAGCAGTGGACAAGTATGAAGACATACTGCCATCAGAAGTTATAGTGAGACAGTTGGTAAGAAGATGATGGCCATTGGTGCCATATGTTCAAACTGTGTTGCAATGGTGAAATCTGGCTCTGTGTGTGTGTGTGTGTGTGTGTGTGTGTGTGAGGGGGTGCACACCCAGATTAGTTCTATGGATGACTGAAACTACAGTCAAACTATATCCTATGTAAAGAACAAAACTTGCTGTCATGAAGAGACATGCATTAAATGAAGGGCATAAATGACTTGCCGATCCGCAAACACTTCTTTTGTTCTAAGAAATATTATAGTGGCTGTGTCTACTGCTGCAAAAATTAAGGTTAGCTCCCTTTATTCAGATATTTATGGTATAACTCTAACATTTGCTCTAGAAATACTAATTTTGAAGGTCAAAATACAAGTGGAGGTAGATTTACTTGTATTCACAAGCTTTTAAAGCCACATCTCAAAATAGAGTGATTTACCAAAAAAGAGGAAGAGAGTTTTGTGCACTTGTTATGCCACGCAAAGAAACCTCAAACAATGAATTTTAAGGGTTTATTTTTTAAATTAAAAAATCCAGATCATGTCTACTTGAGTTACTGCTGGAAAACAATAAAAAACCCAAGGAAGTGGTGATGTCCAAAATACTAACTTAAGCTGCTAAGAAATTTTTTTTTAGTTAAATTGTTTAAAATACTGTGCATGTGTGTTTTGGGGAGAATTTATTGGATGTCTGTGGCTAATTAGCTTTTATAATAGAGAAAGCCTCTGATGTTCGCCAACCTCATTCCTTCAGCTAGGGTGTCGATGCTGACAATAAAACATCCCTTATAATATCCCATGGTTCTATAACAAAACCAGGGAGGGTGAGCTTTTACATTACTAGTATTTGTATGGAAAAAAAGTATTTTAAATATTTTTAATATCTCTTATGTTCTAATTGTAAGATGGTTAATAATTCCTCTGGAAATAGTCGTCATAGAAAACACTGGCTTTTAAGGTTATGTTACAGAAAGATTGTGTACTTTAGATATTTCTGTGCAATGCCTTTGGGCAGATGTAATTTTACACCATTATAAAGGTGTTTATTTTGGCATAATATATTCTTCTGTCCTGCTATAAACACCTTTACACAGGTATAATTATGCCCATGCTATGGTATTGTGTTGCCTTAACTATAGTTGAAGAGATGCACAAATTGTTTGCAGCCCAGAACTGTACATGGGTTGAACCTTTAACTGCCAAAAATTGTTGCTATAGGAAGAGCTTTAAAAATAACTGGAGAGGAGGGAAGCATCTTTAGATTTCATAAGAAAAGAAATCCCACTAGAAACGTATTAATTCTAAGCAGTACTCATACTTCTGTTCTTAAAGCATCTCTTTATTCTAATGTATTAATGATACACTAAAAACACAGTGCATTTATAATAATAGTAAAAGGCAATTCTTCCTTAGGGACTTTTAGAGGATCTTAAAAAGGAATCCCATTTAAAGATGCATCTTTCTCAAAGAGGTTAGGTTGTCTGTAAAATAACTTTGTTCTCATAAAGTAACATGGACTCTGTCAACATCATGGAAATCAGATTCCTGTGAGTTATTAAGCTTTACTGGGATTTCCTGGTAGCAAAATTTGTCCCCCTGCTACAAATTTTCAGTGCAGGGCACATTTTAATGTTCTGGGCATGTGGTTTGTGGCACCACAAAGAGGTTTGCGGTAT